CTTCATGAATGAGTTTTATACTATGTTGATACCCAGCATGCATTTCAGCATAAAATCTTATTTTGTTGATTGTCACCATTGTTGAGTTTCATACGCTGATTCTTGATGTCTAATTGATTCAGAAATGTAATTTTTTTTTTTGTATATTCTGTGAATTCATAGAAGTGTGATAGCCGTACCACTGCTTTTATCTCACACTGTAGTATCACACATAATAAACACAACACACTTGTGAGCAAATATTTAAATAACCTCACAAGGAATACAGTCACCATCACCTGATCCCAATGGATCTTAGTTTTCATTGCCTCAACAAATGTATTTTAGTACATTGTGACAAGTGACAATGAAAACCTAACATTAGCGTACAAAGAGTCAAAATAAAGCAAACATTGATCACAATAATGGTGCTTTGTTGAAATTTCAACATTAATTGCGGGTGCAAAAGTGATGTCGATTCAATGCCATTAACACTGACAAATCAACAATTTTTAATATTGATTCAATGGTTGCTTGATATCAGGGATAGTTCACTCAAAAATGACAATTTCATCATTTACAGTCAATGGTCCCCATTGACTTAGATATTATGGAGGGAAAATACTACGGAAGTTAATGGCTACCAGCAGCTGTGTGGTTACCAACATTCTTCAAAATATCTCCATTTGTGTTCAACAAAAGACAGAAACTCCTGAGTGTGAGTAAATGATGTCATAATTTTCATTTTCGGGTGAACTATCCATTTAATAATAATGCTAGCCATAACCTTCTCTATTTCTGGCTGTGCTTTTGTTCTGCTTACTGATTATTCAACAAGTTGTTTATTAATATCTGTGAACCTGTATGTTTCTGAAATGCTGTTTCCCCAGGCGTGTGCTCTTCAGTTTCTACCTTGTGTGGTCTCGGCTCCTTCACTTCACTAAACTCCTCACTCCAAGTAATTATCTAATAAGCGTCATAAAGGAGCGTAACTCTCTAATCTGTTTATAATTAGCAATTAATTGGTCCCCGCACTAATGCTCAACCTTCAGCAACTCTGACCTGCTCATAATTAATAGTAATATCCGATCCTCAGCATGTAAGAAGCTGGCCATGACCAAATTGTAATCTATCCACACCAATCGTTTCGTACCTCTCTCATTCTGTAGAAGCCAGGATGGCAGTGCTTCCCTCAATCGCCTCCCTCCAAATGCAACTTTTCAAAATCATTTTTTCATTTTTCCTTTACACATTCATCTTGCTGCATCCTATTTTCTGCCCAGTGCTTCTTCCTCTTTGGCCGTATTCAAATGAACGGCGAGACCTTTTCACATACATGAGGGCGTAACGGGGAGCTTAGCAGAACTTCCACCTGATTACCAATGCAAATATTAACAAGTCAAGTTCAGTGTGTGGCGATAGATTAGGGTTTATCCCTCATGCACACCACTCGATTCTTTACGCTCCGGAAACGTTTTTGCTTATCAGCGCGAGGCAACGATCAACACTTCACGTCCCCGGTCCCGCCGAGACTTCAAGAGGGCCGTCATCAACATTCAGAGCAACATTCAAACGTCCCCGTTTCTGAATTCTTACGCCTAAATCCGTATATTAGACATCATAATTGCTGTAAGCCTTGCCATCAAATGGGGAATTACAAAGAACTTGTGAATGCTCCTTCACATTACAAATAACACATTGCACGCCATTGTTTTAGTAATGAAATGCAGCGCTACACGGATCTAGTCATGTGTTTTAAGGGACGCAGCAATACTATCTTTGTGCAGCAGAATCTGTGAGGACAGCTCTGTATTCATAAGGGTTTTGTATTTCGTAGCGAGTGCAGAACGCTTATTTTCCAGTTGATTCATCACTCCTTTCTTCTGTTGTGGTCTGTTTCACCTCCAATATCCAGTTCAGAAAGACTTCCTACCAAGTCTTTGTTATTTCATGACAATGTTATGCATTTATTTTGATTAATTAAAGATTATATTTAATTTATGGCGTGATCTCAACATTTCCTATCAGTAACTGTACATGTATGGCACCTTCGTAAAATACGGATCAATTTGATGACAACAATTGTGTATCCTGTTTGTGGGAAATGTGGTTTTAGGGTTCTTGTTCACCTACAGCCTGCTCTCTCTCTCTCTCTTTCTCTCTCTCTCTCTCTCTCTCTCTCTCTCTCTCTTTAAGCCAGCAGAGCAGATTAGGATGTGAGCGGTCAAGGTAAGAGTCCTCAGGAAGAAGAAACAATAAATAATTTCTATGTTAAAAAGCAGCGGTTCATCCAGAACAAAATGCATTGTGTTTCTTAACTCTAACAATTTATTTTGGCAGTGAATAATACATCAAGTGAGCTGCAAACAAAGTCCTGCCCACTGAAGAGGGAGATCGTCTGAAAGCAAGGTGTGATTGACAAACATCCAGACAGATTCAGCTCAACAGAGGCTCTATTAGTGCAAGCATTCACATAGCATGACACACTGATCCATGATTGCATGGGAACAGAGTCTGTATACTTCAATAGCATGTCGAAAACTAGATTTTTAAATTTGCAAGAATATAGTGTTTATTGTATCCCGTGTCAAACTCACCATCAGTGCTGTAGTTGTGCAGTTATTGTGTGATTGCTTGGTGTTTTCTTCCAGTCTGGTGTGAAAAGAATCTTACACCTTACGTCTTTGTGATCTTCTGGTCTTTAGATGTGGCTCGGGTCATTTTTTCACCTGTTTTACGGTGCATCAGGTGAAAATGCTGCATCTGATCACTTAAACTAGCAGCTCAGTCTCCTCAATGGCACTGATGATCTGAGGAATCATTCCCATCTGCAGCACAAACTCTGAACTGAACTTTAACCCTGTAAAACATGATAAATAATATTCTGGAAAAAAGTTTGCATGTGTGTGTTTTTTGTCAAGTATCTTGATGCATCAGGCTTTTATGGCTCACATGGTCTGATATAGTTTACAGGTTTGTTAACAGTGCTATATGTGCAATAATAATAGTTATGCTTGCAATAGCATTTGTTATGTATATGAATCAGTCACACTCCATATTTTTAAGCTATATAAAACTGTATGTGGTAGATATAGGTACTATTTGTTGATTACATTATCAACACCTACACGTTCGGGTAATTATGAGCATTTCTCCAAATGTCTTTAGAGCTTTTGTTTGCATTCTGTGCTTGACGTTGACGTGGAAGTTTCACAGACGCAGAGATGGAAACTGGCCGTGTGTATTGTTGGTTTCCTAGTTTTCTGTTTGAGTTGTTGTGTCAAATTGGGGTTCCAGTGTAAACGAGTGTTCAGAAAAGAAAAGCCACGGCGTGTTCCTGTGCACTCGCAAACACAATAGCCTAATCTGCACAAAGACAAGGAGAGCAGACGCCAAGAGCTTATGCATTCAAAGTTTGCGGCTGTGAGATTAAAAATTTCCTTTCCAGAGTATCATTGCAAAGTTGTGCACAAAGCGTACACATCCGTTTCAAGCAAATCCAGTCAGTCAGTGCTATTGGAGCGTTTCTTCGGCCTACTCCGCTTTCCAAAGCATTAGTCCTGCACACTGAAACACAGCCGAACACAATGACTCTGAAACTAGTCTGCTTTCTCTCCTCCTCTGTATTTACCGCACCAACTAAATCACGTGGTCAAGGTTGTGTGAAGCCAGACTATAATGAGATAATTTCCCATTCTCTTGCTCTTGCCTATCAAACTTCATACAAATAGCTTGACTTTCCATATCCTGAAAGTTTGGATAAAGAAGTTGACAAAGCAACATGCATTGCCTGCTACATAATATATGGCTTTTAGCATGAGGGACCGTAAACTCCATTTGCGTCAAGGATAATAACATTAACTCCCTCCAGCAGGCCGAGAAACCGCTGGAATGGGCGCACATAAACAATTCGACAGAACTTCAGTTTAGACGTGGATTTGGCCCAGTGTGTGTCTACAGTTTCTGTCAGAGGAAAAAATGCAAAAGAAAAATATGAACACTGATGTTACTGACTATTAATAAACCTTGATGTAAATTTAAATAAACATGTAAAAAGAAATGACTTTTCCCTTGAATTCTTCAAAAAAAAAAAATGTCTGGTTACAGAAAAAGCATCAATGTGAAGCTCATATTTTTCACTCACATGAACTATTCAGGAAAAACAATTGGTTTATTATTTGAGCTTTAAAGTGGTCTGTGGTTTAAGGTGGGTCGGTTTTTCTAAGTGTATGTAGTTTTTATGTGTTATTAATTAAACCGCCCTGCATCATTTTCACTGAATAAAATCTGACACTCGTTTCTTACAAATTTTGGTGTGCTGATTCCAAATATTGTGCCTGTTTTGACCTCTTATGTCACACTTTGTTGCATTTTGTATCTTTTTATTTATTTATTTATTTATTTATTTATTTTTGACAACCATTAGTAAGGTGAAGAAGTCTTATTTAACCTTAATTGGCAGAAAACACCTCAAATACATGATTCCTGTCTTCATCTGAGCCAGATTACCACTATTTGTTCATTTATCAGCCTGTTTTCACATGTATGCATAATTCTGAGCGAATTCCAGCGAATTGTGACACTGATAGAGATGCTTCATGCAAATGCTTTATGGTACCATTTTTGGTTTTGTTGCATGTAACAAGCTAAGTTAGATGAGTTATGTAGTTTAATAAATAGTCTTGTGTTATACTTTTTT